AGTATTGGAGTTTCAGCTTCAACATCAGTCCTTCCAATGAACACCCAGGACTGATCTCCTTTAGGATGGACTGGTGGATCTCCTTGCAGTCCAAGGGGCTCTCAAGAATTTTCTCCAACACCACAGTTTTAAAGCATCAACTTTTCCGTGCTCAGCTTTCTTTATAGGCCAACTCTCACATCCACACATGATCACTGGAAAAACCATAGCCTTGACTAGATGGACCTTTGTTGGCAAAGTAATGTCTCTGCTTTTTAATATGCTATCTAGGTTGGTCATAACTTTCCTTCCAAGGAGTAAACGTCTTTTAATTTCATGGCTGCAATCACCATCTGCAGTGATTTTGGAGCCCCCCGAAATAAAGTCAGCCACTGTTTCCCCATCCATTTGCCATGAAGTGATCAGACCAGATGTCACGATCTTAGTTTTCTGAATGTTGAGCTTTAAGCCAATTTTTTTACTCTCCTCTTTCACTTTCATCAAGAAGCTCTTTAGTTCTTCACATTCTGCCATAAAGATGGTGTCATCTGCATATATGAGGTTATTGATATTTCTCCCAGCAATCTTGATCCCAGCTTGTGCTTCTTCCAGTCCAGCGTTTCTCATGATGTACTCTGCATATAAGTTAAATAAGCAGGGTGACAATATACAGCCTTGACGTACTCCTTTTCCTATTTGGAACCAGTCTGTTGTTCCATGTCCAGTTCTAACTGTTGCTTCCTGACCTGCATACAGGTTTCTCAAGAGGCAGGTCAGGTGGTCTGGTATTCCCATCTCTTTCAGAATTTTCCACAGTTTATTGTGATCCACACAGTCAAAGGCTTTGGCATAGTCAATAAAGCAGAAATAGATGTTTTTCTGGAACTCTCTTGCTTTTTCGATGATCCAGCGGATGTTGGCAATTTGATCTCTGGTTCCTCTGCCTTTTCTAAAACCAGCTTGAACATCTGGAAGTTCACGGTTCACGTATTGCTGAAGCCTGGCTTGGAGAATTTTGAGCATTACTTTACTAGCGTGTGAGATGAGTGCAATTGTGCGGTAGTTTGAGCATTCTTTGGCATTGCCTTTCTTTGGGATTGGAATGAAAACTGACCTTTTCCAGTCCTGTGGCCACTGCTGAGTTTTCCAAATTTGCTGGCATATTGAGTGCAGCACTTTCACAGCATCATCTTTCAGGATTTGAAATAGCTCAACTGGAATTCCATCACCTCCACTAGCTTTGTTCGTAGTGATGCTTCCTAAGGCCCACTTGACTTCACATTCCAGGATGTCTGGCTCTAGGTGAGTGATCACACCATCGTGATTATCTGGGTCATGAAGATCTTTTTTGTACAATTCTTCTGTGTATTCTTGCCACCTCTTCTTAATATGTTCTGCTTCTGTTAGGTCCATGCCACTTCTGTTCTTTATTGAGCCCATCTTTGAATGAAATGTTCCCTTGGTATCTCTAATTTTCTTGAAGAGATCTCTAGTCTTTCCCATTCTATTGTTTTCCTCTATTGCTTTGCATTGATCACTGAGGAAGGCTTTCTTATCTCTCCTTGCTATTCTTTGGAACTCTACATTCAAATGGGTCACACTACTCCCCACCTTCACTGTCACATACCCTCAGCTTAAACCATATGTGATTATGCTTCCCTGTATTATTTTTAAGACATTCCAATTATTCTCCCTGCTTCCATTCTTGACCTCTTTCAGTCTGTTCTCTATGTGGCCATCTGTGATCATCTGAGGAAAGGTAAGTCAGGTCACACCACATCCTTTTTCAAACTTCCACTGGCTTCATATCTCACTCAGCGTATATTGCCGACAATTGCTTAGGAGTTTTCATCCTCCTCTTCCACCATCTGTCCGCTCCTGGACTGCAGTCTTCTGGGCCTCAGTCACTCCTTTCCAGCCACGCTGGCCTCCCTGCTGTACTCAGACAAGTCAGGCCTTTTCCAGCTCCCACCCACGTGCAGGCTGTTCCCTCTGCCTAGGGAAACACTTCCTTTGACCTGTTCTCATGGCTTCCTCCTTCACTTCCTCAGGTCTTGGTTCAGATGTCCATTTCTCTGCAAAAACTCCCTGATCACTCTCTTCCTAGCCCCCTGTTCTGCTTTATTATTTTCCACAGTGCATTTTACCGTTTAACATTGTATATAGTTTACATAATGATTATGCTTACTCTTTGCCTCCCTACACTAAAATGTCAGCTTTTGGAGGACAGGGAGTGCTGTTTGTTTGTTTTCATTATTTCTTAGGCTTGGCATATACTGGGTATTTAAGAAATATGGGTTGAATGTATCAGACTCTGGAGTACAATAAAGAATAAGATAAAGTCCAAGTGCTCAAGAAGTTTAAATTCAAGGGCTTAAGAAGAGGATGACAGCAATCAACAATGCTTTTATCCAGACTGGAAGTGGAAAGAGAGACTTCTTAGAAGCAGGTGAAAGTGTTAATCGCTCCATTGTGTCTGATTTTTTGTGAACAAATGAACTGCAGCCCACCAGGCTCCTGTCCATGGGCTTCTCCAGGCGAGAACACTGGAGTGGGTAGCCATTCCCTCCTCCAAGGGCTCTTCCTGACCCAGGGATCCATCCCGGGTCTCCTATGTGGCAGGCAGGTGCTGTACCATTTGGCTCACCAGGGAAGCCCTCTTAGAAGTAAATACATTGGCAAGTCACTTAAACACTCCAAATTCCAACTTCCTCATCGGAAAGCTAGAAGTAATCAGCTTGCCCTCTGAGGGAGAGAGCTGAATGAGAGTGGGGTGTAACAAAGCTGTCAGAGGAGCTGGCGCCTCAGAGACACAGAATGTGCTCAGCTCCATCGCTGCCCTCCCTCAGGACTTGATAGCTTCATCCAGTCCTATTTATGCCATTTTCTACCTCTCAGTGTTTATGTTAAACATTAAAGGCATCAAGCGGTATAATTTTACTGGCTACTCTATGTCCAAGTAAGCAATTACATTTGTAGAACCTGTTGAATTACCATGGGTTGTTTCATTGTCCTAATCATCTGATTACTGAAAAATAACCAGAATTAATGCAAAATGGTCAAGTTGGTAGCAATTCGGCTGCCTCAAAAGATGTTATTAAAAGGATGTTAGCAGGGCTGTCTCACCACTCTAAAACTCTCCACTGCAGTGGCCTCTAAAAAGCCCCTTTTATGGCGCTCTTAAGGCCAGTGGCCATCTAACTTTGAAATTACTATTAACTTTGTACTCAGATGATATCAAAACTCAGGAGGTCCAGCTGAGGTGTGGTAACTGCTGATACTAGAACTATTAACTTGGATGCTTTTTCCCTCCTCTGTCCTACATATTTCCTGATAAAAGATTATAGCTAAGCCATCAGTGCTTCTTGATGCAGTAAAGGTTTACATAACTACCCCCTCACACACATACAGACATTTAGCAAAGAGAACACATACATGCTATATTTACCATCTACTGTAAATATATAATTATTTATAGTTAGATAAATATATAAGTATGTAATGATGCTTACATCAAGTAAGTTATTTTGTGTAAGCTTATGTATATGTAAATGTAAATTTAAGTGCTCTCTATATATTACTTATATACTACATATTGGCTTCTTATGATAAAACCATTTATGTATATCTTTAGTCATTCTATGAATATGTGCTTAGAAATTTTCATGACAAAAGGCTTAAAAATGCATTAAATTAATTTCACTTCCATTTGCAAAAGAGTTCTCGAGTGCTTTTATGAATGTCCAATGAATTGGGAAAGCGAGAAAGAATAAGAACTATCTATCTCAAGGAGGTTAATCAACTAGGACACCACAGACTAAAATTCACACCAGGTAAGATTAAAAACCTTAAGAAATATGCATGCCTATGAAGAATAAGAAGTGAAAATACAGACAAAACTTAGTGAGGCATATTCTCAACAAACTGTTACAATTTAATTAGGGAAAAAATCCACTTATACGTATTCATATATATGTTTAAATGTCATATGGACTAAAGCATCACATTAAGACTCTCAAATTTAGTTTTTAGAAGTTCTTAAATCAAGTATAGCACTGTAATGTTAGAGTCAAATATAGGGCCCTTTAAAATTGAAGAAAGAAAGAAAAATAGAACCCTGAGCCCGCCTTGAGCTAAAACAGATGGTACCCACTCAAAGGGCAGGGAAAATTTAAGCTTTCTCTTCATGTTTGACATGTGACAAAAACGCTGAATGAAATCCTACAAAATAATTATCACTCAAGACCTCCTTTTACTTCTAGATGTATAGACTGCTTTGTTAATGCTTCATTTTTTGATCAGTGAGTCTGGTTTCCAGGGATTTTCCTTCCTTCACAATAGCCAAACTTATACTAAGGGTCAGAATCTTTTGCAAAAAGTATTAATGTAGAAAATAAAATCCATTAAGGTGAGGAAACTAACAAAACAGAACCTTATGCTTGAGGACAAGAATAACTTATTTGTGTATGTGGGACAATGAGTTATTTGGTCTTTCTTCGCAAATGAGATAAATGTCATAGCCCATCATATCCCACTACCATGAATTATATATAACAACATTTGGTGAAATATGAAATTCTAAAAATACACTGAAAGGCTGGAGTCATCTTAATGGTTTATTATGATAGGTGCTCCTGGGTTTGAAATATCTTCTTTCAGAGAAGACAAATGGGGGCGACATTATTTTAGAAAGTCCACATCTTTTAAAAAGATGGATTAAAAGCTCTTTGAGACAGCTGTGCTGTTTTATTAGAAGAACAACATTTTCTTCCTAAATAGTCCTTGAGGGCAATTGCACAGAATAATCAGGGGACATTTTGGGCTCCATTCAAAACTGAAGCTCAAAGAAATGCTGCAGAGGAGAAGAGGCAGGATAATCACTTTTGCTGGGAATGTAACCACGTGAATATGGACAAGGAAGGAAATCAGACTTAAGTCAGAGTAACAAAGTTATATTTTCAAGTTCAAAGGAAGTATTCCTTCTGTGGTACAGTTTCACTGTGGTTAACACCTGGCTTTGTAGTCAGAGGAAACTAAATCTGAGCACTTTCTCTGTTCCATAGTTACCTGGGAACTTGGTCAGGTTCAATCTCTTGTCACCTCTATATTTTTCTCTGTGAAATGGGGACATATTTTTGTATCTCTCTGCGGTTTTGAGGATTAAATGAGATAGTGCAAATACTGGGCTTATCATCTTACCTTGCAGAGGTGAACAAACCTGCTCTTTTGGAAACTATCTAGTTTTGTAGGTAAGCCCACAGCTCTGATATTAGATCCTCAAGATGTGCTCTCTTACTTCCTGTTTAACTATGAAAGATTGATTCAATCTCTCTGAACTCCACTGATGCATCTAAAAAATAAGATGACATTAAATATCCACTGCTAAGGTCGTGACGGTTATCTACAAAATGTTAAAATGCTTGGTACAGCGCCTGATATAATTTTATAACAAGAGTCAACAGCAACTGGTATAAATATAACCTTAAATAACAATACAATTAATATTCACATAATACAAAATCGACCACTTCTCAGCTATTTGTTTTCTATTTTTAAGGTCTTTTGGTTTAGTTTCTTGTCTATTTTCATATCTCTGCAGTGCCTCAGGAGAAAAGTCCTAAATATATAACAGATACACAAGGGCACTGTGGAACATGGGGGCTGCACCTGTCATCATGTCACTCATAGTCACTTTTCCCTGCTCAAATGTGCACACCTGGGGAAGGCTGAAAACTCAGTCTCCCACATTATCCCCCTTTTACAGTTGGGTAGGGAATACCTGGCCAATTAATTTCCATGTGGTCGAGGAGGCTGGATCACCAGTTACAACCTTCCTTATTTTCATCACCTTCCCATTGTTAGCACAGGCTAGACTAAAGCTGCTCTGAGAGCTTGCTCTGCTTACATTCTAGTGAAGGGTGCTCAGAGAAGACCACAAATCATACAAGGCACAACTGTAATTGGATATGCTGTTCTCTTCAGATTTTTCTGTTACAAATACACACAGCACCTATACATAAGCCAAGTTATGAATCTAAATACTTTGTTAAAGATAGTAACGCATTTCCATTTGGACTAACCATGAGGTCATGAAAAAGTCTTCCAAACATTCTCACTCATTTTGTTTTCTAATGAAGAAAAGGAAACAGAGTCTTCAGGATACATATGAGGAATGCCCCAAATTTATCGTGAAGAGGGTGGGTTCTTTCTTAAATAATGAACTGTATCTTTCCGTTACAAACAGATAATCATTTTCTACTGTAATAATACTCAATAAAAATTTCAGTTTGGGCCCCTCATTGAAGCAGATACCTGGGGGTAGGAGATGTTTATGTAGCTGGCTTTTCCTCTAGGACTCTGCATCCTAAGTAACTACTGTTTGTCCAATAAACAAGTCTCTGACAGTTCTGTGGTGAACTCAGCAGGGTCCAGGCTATTATTTAAGTCTCTTTTAAAGAATAAATATCAAATAATCTGAAAAGGCATCTTAAAGGGTAAAAGTGCAGCCATATTTTTATGGCTGCTAGCTGCAGGGAATCAAAGGAGAATTTTCTCCCTCTGGAACGCAGACTTCCATTCAGGCTAATGGACACTATGCACGTTAACAATGTCTGACGTGGCACAGAGTTTCAACATGCCTGCTCAACACCTATAATCATCCTGAGACAGGCAGGGAGTTCTGGTGCTGGAATATCAGAAGAAAATTTGGTAATCACAATGTTGTGACCATGGATGTCTACATATGCGTGTACAGGTGATATGTGCATATGTGTTTATATATGTAAAGTTTTAGAGTAGGTCAAAACTGTATCAGCATCTAGAATTTTGTAATTGATGAACACTTTGTCCCTCACCAGAGATGATATTGGTTGAATGGAAGTATCTCGCTTCCCCTGTCAATCGGGGGAGGAGGGGACAGATTTTAATCAAATGTAACCAATCAGATACCAATCACCCCCTCCACTAGTTTCTTACCTAAATTTCTGAACTTCTCTAGCTTCTATCCTTCTCTTCAGCCGTTCTTTTGATTTTGTGATGTAGCCAATATGATTTTAATTTATCCTTTTGTTTTTCTACTTATGTTAGTCAGTATTGATTGCTGTTGCATGCAACCAATGGTTTATGATTCATGACTTATATACCCCTACCCCTGATGCCTCCTGCAACTTGCCACTCTGCAAATCCAAACACAGGATATGTGTTCTCTCCTGCCTCCCTCCATAAATAGCAAGACTACCCAGGATTTCACTTTTAAAACATTCTCACATTCGCTTATATTAATACAGTATTCTTTTAAGACCGATGAAAGTAATTTGCCTACATGTTTTAATTTTCACTTTCCTGACAACTATAAACTTTTTACAAAAATATTAACCTCATTGATCTTGAAACATTAATCTCTTCTCAGCTCTCGGACAGAACCTGGCTGTATGCAAACAGGTTAGGTTCTATATCTGGTCATCAGTAGCAATATTTCTCCAAGGTTTAAATCATCTAGATAGCATGTTAAATTATAGTGCCTCTCTTTCTTCTCTGACAGATTCCACCCTTTCGAGTCTCTGCCTTCTTTCTTTGCTACAGTAAATGGATCTTTTAAAGCATCCAGGTGCAAATGAATTAATGGTCTTCTATTGTGAGAATGATGGAAGCCCTCCCCCTCCTCCTCCACATTGAGGTCCGTTCCCCTTCTGAGAAACCCACATATCAATTAAACTCACCTGCTAATTAAAAGCTTGTTTGGAAAAATCCTTGCTAGTTAGATGCAAAAGAAAAGTGTAAAGGTGTCTAAAAATAGAGGCTTTGAATGTCAATTACTTCCTTCCTCCTCAGTTCCTGGTTCCTCAGGTTGAATTAAATGCTGGTGAAGAGCTAGGAGAGGGAAAAAAGAAAGAAAAAAGAGTGAATTTTTTTTTCAGCATATTCCCCAGGAGTATATCATTGGTTCAGTAACTTTAGTTCTTTGTCAGCAGTATCAAAATGCAGTTTTTATTCATGAGACAAAAACACTATCTCTCACTCCTTCTCATACAACCACACAAGATGTCTTGTACAAAGAAGGAGAAACTTCAGTTCTCACATGTTGACTGTCAACAGTCAAGCCAGAGCTTCTGTGTGCCAGAATATAAGAAGAACAAAAGAGAAAGTAGAAATGATTCTTGGTTCAATCCCTTAACAACTCCTGCCCTTCGGTCTTCAACCACCACTCTTTCCAATCTGCTTTTCCTGAGAAATGGGTCTTAAGAGCAGATTTGTACCAATAGTAGATTATCTTCTTTCTTTTCTACCCCAGACTTTAAAAAGCTGTATTGTTCTGAAGTAACACAATTATTATACTATACAAAATAAAGAAAATTCTAAATATAGAACTTGGGAGACTAGGAAAGCCATAGGTATGAACAAAGACCTTCAGTTTCATGTACCAAACAATGAGAACAAATTAATATCTGCCTTAGAAAATGATGGCTAATTATTTACACATTTATTCATTCACTCAGCAGATATTTTTGTTACAGTAGGTCCATTCTTTGATAGTCATTGAGTCAGGATGTGGCCTCAGAATTGTTATTACAATCAAGTCCCAGCCCTTGGAGAGTTTATATGCTAGAAAAGAAACTTAGAGTAATAGCAATTAAATAGCATGTGACAAAGTTGGTAATCAGACAAACATAAGCTGCTAATCCAGATAAGGAAGGTTAAACAAAGTTGTTTAGAAATGGTGACAGTTAAGCTAAGAACAAAAGGTTGAAGATAAAGTCGATGAGAGGGAGGAGAAGAGAGAAAAAGACATTCCAATCTTGTTCAATAGGTACCATGAAAGAGAACATGACACTTTGGGGGAATTGTCCATGGTTCTTTGGACCTGGGACACAAAGAGTGAAGGGAAAATCCAAAGGAAGACCAAAATGACATGGTATTTTAAAATGCCTTCTGCAATAATCATAAATTAGTGCACTTTAAAAATAATAGGACGCGTAAATGGCAAACAGGAAAGAACAAAGAATCTCTATTTCATGACTTCCTTTATGATATGCAAAGGCAAAACTGGGCATGTTTAGGTGGCTATGAAAAACACTGTTTACCAAAAATTGGGGATTTTAACTGTTTCACATTTCATCCTTTAAATAGGTACATGCCATAGAGATTTAAGTTCACAGGCTTAAGGCAGACTGCATGCCACAGACTGAGGATAGGATAGTGACTAATATAGCAAAGGCCTATAAAAACATAAACCCTTCTCAGAAAAAAATGATTTTCCAGTTTGTCTATGTTCAAAAATAGAATATGGTTTTGAAAAAAAGAAGACATTCATAGAACGAAACACTGTATCAATGAGATGAAAGCTAATCTTTAATTCAATTCAGCTAAGAACTTCAGCAATACCTGAACCATGAACTTCCAGATGTTCAAGCTGGTTTTAGAAAAGGCAGAGGAACCAGAGATCAAATTGCCAACATCTGCTGGATCATCAAAAAAGCAAGAGAGTTCCAGAAAAACATCTATTTCTGCTTTATTGACTATGCCAAAGCCTTTGACTGTGTGGATCACAATAAACTGTGGAAAATTCTGAAAGAGATGGGAATACCAGACCACCTGATCTGCTGCTATATGCAGGTCAGGAAGCAACAGTTGGAACTGGACATGGAACAANGAAGAGTTGACTCATTGGAAAAGACCCTGATGCTGGGAGGGATTGGGGGCAGGAGGAGAAGGGGACGACAGAAGATGAGATGGCTGGATGGCATCACCGACTCGATGGACATGAGTTTGAGTAAACTCTGGGAGTTGGTGATGGACAGGGAGGCAGGGCGTGCTGAGATTCATGGGGTCGCAAACAGTCGGACAGCATTGAGCGACTGGACTGACTGACTGAAGAATTATTGAGCACCTGCTACGTGTCAAGCATTTTAATGGGTTCAAAGGCAATCAAAATTGATAAATTTAATACAGTTGGGTCCTGAAGCTGAAAGACCAATAGAGAAACCTGTTTATTAAAAAGAACCCTCAGCAAGTGCTCAATGTTATAATATGTTTCCTCTGTTCTATTACCTAAAATATAAGTCAAGAAACTTGTTTTAATTGAAACATAGTTACAAAATTGTGTTACTTTCTGCTGCAGTAAAAAGATTCACTTATATATACATATATATTTATATTCTTTTTTATATTCTATCCCATTATGGCTTATCACAGGATATGAAATATAGTTTCCTATGTTATACAGTAGGACCTAATTCTTTATCCATCCTACATATAACAGTTTGCATTTGCTAACCTCAAACTCCAGCTCCACTCCCCCATCTCCCTTCCTCCTTAGCAACCATAAGTCTGTTCTCTATGTCTGTGAGTCTGAAGAAATTTTTCTTATTCACAGTTGTATCCTCGGTGCCTAAAATAGTGCCTGGCACACTGATTAAGTTAAATATGTAAAGTGTGTCTTGCTGAGTGGCCTCTAGATCTGAAGGCTTAAAATCCAGCTTCACTGTAACACAAAGGCTCAAGATCATCAATCTTTTCCCATATTTTCTTGTTGTTTCAGGCAAAAAAAAAAAAAAAGTCTTCCTAGCTGTGAAATTTAAAGTTCTTAAAGTAAGTCCTATAGCCCCAAATTAATCCTCCAAGTTGCAAATCACCCTCCAGTGGTTTCTTACTGCAATGAAAATAAAACTGCAACATTTACCAAGGCCTAGTGTCCCCCAGCAATATCGTCTCCTTCATCTCAACATTCCTCTGACATTTTCTACACTCTAGGCACACGGACTTTCTGTTCCTCAGGCACATCACACGTTTTCATTTTGTGGCCTTTGCCCTCTTCTCTCCGCCTGGAATCTTCCCTGAGAACTTTGCATGCCTCACTCTTATCATAAAGGTCTCAGATTGAATGTCACATCTTCAATGAGGCCTTCTCAGACCATTCTTTTAAAATGGCCACATTCACCCATCAGTATTATTCCATCATATCATCCTGCTTTATATTCTTCATAGCAACTCTTATTATCTGACATTTTCCTTTTGCCTATGTCTCTTCCCACCCTCTACGACTAGACTGTTAGCTCCATAAAGAAAAGGAAATGATATTCTTTATCATGAAAGCAGTGTTTTATACATAGCAAGTACTTCATAAATACTTGTTTATTGCATAAATGAATAAATTATCCAATGATAAGCAGACCTTCATTAAAGTTGAGAGAAACTATGGACATTGCTATCTGTAATAGAAAATTCAGGGTGATAGCCATAATAACACAACTAATCCATTTTTTTAGTGGTATAGAACTAAATTTTAAGTCTAAAGTTGAGATCTATTATTTAAAGGTATTTTTTAAAAATCCATAATGGACTTGGAGGGCATTATGCTAAGTGAAATAAGTCAGAGAGCAAAAGACAAATTATTGTATGATATAGTATATGTAGAATCTAAAAAATACAACAAACTAGTAAACAAAGTAAGATGCAGACTCACAAATATAGAGAACAAACCACTGGTTATCAACAGGGAGAGGGGAAGGTGGAAGGGTGGTATAGGTATAGGAAAAAAAGGTTATTATGGGATTATATGAAATCATGTATGTAAAAATTTAAACATGAAGTGACTTATTGTAAAAAGTATAAAATTAACCCTCAAATTAAAGGTATTTTTTAAAAATCCATAATGGACTTGGAGGGCATTATGCTAAGTGAAATAAGTCAGAGAGCAAAAGACAAATTATTGTATGATATAGTATATGTAGAATCTAAAAAATACAACAAACTAGTAAACAAAGTAAGATGCAGACTCACAAATATAGAGAACAAACCACTGGTTATCAACAGGGAGAGGGGAAGGTGGAAGGGTGGTATAGGTATAGGAAAAAAAGGTTATTATGGGATTATATGAAATCATGTATGTAAAAATTTAAACATGAAGTGACTTATTGTAAAAAGTATAAAATTAACCCTCAAATTCAAATATTTCATTGACTTTTAAAATTTAGGTATTTGAAAACAGCACTTTTGGTTGTATTTTTCCTTTGTTGATAATTTATTTAATTTCTAAAGGAACCACTTGCCTGCTTTATGTATCTGCTTTTATATTTGCCCATATTTCTTGGTGATTCCCCAGTGCTTCTTTTGTGCAATAGTAAAATCAGGCTTCATTTTGTTTTTTGTTTTATACGCAGAGTCTATAATTCGAAAATTTCTGGAGTATTTGCACAGTGCCCTCTCACATCTCAAGTCTCCCTGAGAAGTTTCCTAACATGTTTTGTGCCTTTTTACAAGGAATTTAAGTAACTGTTGCTGATGTCATCATTCTCTTCATTTAGCAAATCTTAGGTTCATCTCAGTCTCATTCCTCTATGCTCACTTACATTTGGTGGAGAATGACTACCCTACACCTTCAGAGAGCAATCAGAGAGGCAGATTTAGATATAAAACTTGATACAATTTTGTTTTCATCTTATCTCCTATCCTTTTCATTCATCTGATGTAGTCCTAAAATGCCCAAATCAGGATGTGTGTGCAGTTAACAACAGAATGCAAAACTTCTTTTATCCTTCACGAGGTTAATTCTTTATTCTCTTTGAAAAACAGAATTCACCTTTTTTTTCTCCTAGAGAGTAAGAAAAATTCTGTTTTTGCAGAAATCTGTAATGTTTTCTTACCCTTGAAGTCTGTATATGGAAAATCAACCAGATCAGGATTTTTTTTTCCTTTTTGTTATTTGTACATTATGCAATATTTGAAAAACCACAATCAGCTGGAGTTCCAGAGAAATGAATTACATACTAACTAGTCTGGTTAATTAGAGTGCTATTTAATTTTTGTAATTCAGCCTGAGCCTGAATAGTGCAAAATCCATTTGACCTGTATCTTACAGTCATCCATTTGCC